CTCAAGCATGGTCACCGTCCTTTCATTTTTAAATATCACAACTCTGGTCTTTTATCATTTTATTGGGAACTTGGTTTGCTTTGGTTCATAGCCCCGCTTCAGGGCTGGCCCCACATCTACCTAAGGCCTCAGAGCTTCACAGAGCGCCTGACAAATGAGGCAGCCACTAAATATTTAAATTCACTAACTATGTAAGTCAATGGTTATCTTGCATTACAATAAATTTGAAGTATTATCATGATAATCTGGTTTTTTATTTTTGAGATTGTAATTACATTTCTCCCTCCTCTCTCCAAATCCTCCCATTTACCCCTCCCTGTTCTCCTTCAGATCTGTGGTCGCTTTATTCATCAGTGGTTATTGCATGCATATATGTATTTGTATATACATATTCACAAATAAATCTGTCCAGTCCATATTACTTGTGTGCATGTTTTCAGGAATGACCGACACTATATGTATTTGTATATACATATTCACAAATAAATCTGTCCAGTCCATATTACTTGTGTGCATGTTTTCAGGAATGACCGACACTGGTCAACCGATTCACGCACTCTGGGGTGGAGCACGTCCTGCTCCCAGCTTTCCTCAGTTGCCTGGAGCTCTTTGTGTAGGGTTGAGGCCTCTTGGACTTTCCCCATCCGGTTTGGTAGCTGTGTTGGTGCCTTCCTTGTTCAGCTCACCTTTGGGCGGTCACGTTGGTGAGACCTTAGAGGTCCAGCTTCAATCCCGCAGCAAACCCGCTGGCCCTCAGGCTCTCCCTGTCTTTCCACCTCCCCTTCTGCAATGTTCCCCGAGTCTTAAGGCAACCAACAGTCCTACCCAGCTCTGATGTGGCAAACCACACCAACAACCAGCATAGCACCCTAACACTATGGATGAAGTCGTAGCCTACCCTGGCGGCAAACAACAGCTCCTTAGCTGGGCTTAAAACCTGCTCAGCAAGAGGGAGACCATGTTTGGTACTCGCTTTCTGTTCAGTGCTTCTGAAATCGTGGTTGCTAGAAGAGAATCTGCAAACACTATTTTACTATACAAGCATAACCCTTGACAACAAGCTGGAAACATTTGCCTTTCTACCCACAGATGAGTGTGACCTTTACCCCTCAGCAAGGAAATTCCCTTTGCAGCAGAACCAAAGACAGCTACAGAAAACCACAGCCAATCAGAGTCCCAGAGCCTAGTCCCAATGAATTCATCAATATTCACTTCTTACATTAATTTTTTTGTGTAGGTGTGTCTGGGTGGGTGTGCAGATCAAAAGACAACCCACAGAAGTCAGTTCTCTTCCTGCACCTTGTGGGTCTCAGAAATCCAGCTCAGGCTAGGTGGAAAGTGTCCTTACTTACCTGCTGAGTTCACCTTCGTATATTCTCAAGCACAGGTGTACAAGCTGTTTACTACCATAGTTTGAAAATGCCCCCCCCCCCAAAGCCATGGGTTAGACATGTAGCCTCCAATGCAATAATGCTGGTCCATGCTGGCTTTGCGAGGGCTCCTCCTGCCAGATAGATCAAGACTAATTATAAAAGGGCAGCCACCAGTTCAGCCACCTTGCTTCCTCTCTTTGCCCTTCTGTCATGGGACTTCGCAGCAAGAAGACCCTCCTGGATCCCGATTCCCGATCCCAGGCTTCTCCACTTCACATCCCTGAGACAGTAAATCTCTGTTCTCTATAAATTACCCAGTATCAGGTGCTCTGCTACCACAACACAAAACGGCCTCGGGCAGACACACTTCAGAATGCCGGCTCAATCCATTCAGAACGCTCTTAATTGGACTCTCCACATCAGAGGGTGTGGTCTGAAGTAGTAGTTGGTGGCCCATGCCGCTGCAGCTGCACGGGTTGGGTGACTAGAAACTGCCACCTGTTAATTTGGAATCAGAATGTAGAGTGGTATGTACGGTTTTATTCATGAATTCTGCTCACAGGTCAAACCACAGAGGCAAAGAGAAAACAGGACACAAGGCAGAGGGAGAGAGGCCATGGCTTTGAGGGCCCTGACCAATATCTTTCTTTGTCCAGCCCACCCTCATTCCCCTGGATTTGGGAAAAGGCCAGCTGCCTGCCCTCTGAGTGCCTCCCAGGATGAAGCCGGCAGGGTGAGGGTCCCACAGTTAGTTTTCGACTTGATGAAAAAGGACTCACCACGGCCTGCTGCTCTGTGTTCCGTGCTGCTGGGCTCACTTTCCCTGCACTATGATGAACGGCTCCCGCTTTGCTAGAACAGTGAGTGTAAGCCCCAAGACTTGCAGGGGAGGGAAGCTGAGAAAATAAGCATGACTCACTGTCTCCGTGGTATCTCCTGTGTGACAGAGAAGCAAGAGCTGTGGTCTAGAGACTTCGCGAGTATAAATTATTTGGTTGCAGGATCTGAGCTTTGGGGCAGCAAGTGACTCTCCTCAGGTGATGGACACTGGAGTCCACCCTCACAGTGGAAGACAACAGCAGCCAAAATGTACTGTCCCCCTGAGTCAGAACTTTATCGCAGGCCGTTCCGCGGTTAGTGGCAATCAATAGCAACTCAGTTTCAGACTATCCAATCCTGTTAGCTCGACCTCATTAAACCTGATACAGACAAGGGACTAAAAGCTAGAGGCTGTGGACAGGAACGGGAGCTTCAGACTGTCACAGTCGCACTGACTCAAAAGCCCTTTCACAGCAGGGGCGTGAGACTGACGTATGTGGGCTTCTCGGTGGTGCAACCGGCTGTGGCACACACCTAATGTGCCCATCAAAGTGTGAACACCACAAGTCTGGTAGAAGTTGTTCAGGTTGGAACAATGGGTGCAAGCCTCACAGAAGAATCGCCTCAGGAAATGCTGACCCCAGAGTAGGCTGCTTCCGTGGTGAAACCCAGAAAACACCCAGGGCTTCAGAGCCTGGACACAGGAGCCTGCATCGCTGTGTGGGCTACCTACCATCCCTCCCCCACCTGTGTCTGGGAAGGATGAAGAGGCAAAGCAAATCTTGGGAACACTAGCGAACAGAACAGTGCTTGTCCACAGACCACCCAGTAATCCTACAAGTTCATTTTATGTACATTTTATTTATTTATTTTTGTTTATTTATTTTGGGGACAGGGTATCTCTGTGTATCCCTAACTGTCCTGGAACTTGTTCTGTCAACCAGGCTGGCCTCGAACTCAGAGATCCACCTGCCTCTGCCTCCTGGGTGCTGGGATTAAAGGCGTGTGCCACCACCGCTCCTCGACAAAGCTCTTTTTAAACGTGAGGCGAGACCGGAATATACATGTCGCATGTGCTTACGAAGACACGCCAGCATAACCTGAGGAAACAGAACCGTGGAGCGCTATGACTTGCTCTGGTATACTGGTCCTGCTGGAATGATGGCCAGGAGAGTGAGTCTCTCTGCCAAGGGAGGGAGGCTGGAAACCCAGAGCAGTGCTTCCCAAACTGGAGTGTGTTCGTGAGAGTCCTGTGCCCAGAGAGGCCGGAAGAGGGCGTCAGAGCCCTTGGAAGCCGAGTTACAGGCAGTCATGAGATGCCAGGCTTGGACACTGGCGCTGGGAACTGACCTTAGGTCCCTGGCTAGAACAGCTTGTGCTTCTAACCAATGAGTGATCTCTCTAGCTCCCCCTCCTCCTCCCCCTTGGCAGTCTTGCTGGTTTGCTTTTTTTTAAAAATCATGGTTCTCTATGTATATGTATAGCTCATTTTAAATTTTAAATGCTTTTGAATTAGCTTCACATTAATATCATACTATAAATGGCCTCCTGAAAGGTCCTTCATCTAGGTCTGTATCTCTGGGCTTCACTGTGCTTGCACACACAGCTGTGACACACATCCCCTGTTACACGTCCATCGTGGAAACACAATTCATTAACCATTTTCTTACTCACTGCGTGCTGAGTATAGTATTTCATTAGTTTAAAGTAATGGATTATGAGTTTTTTTGCTGTGTTTCTTAAAGTGAATGCACAAGACTTCCTGCAGGATATATATCTCACTAGATACAGATAAATAGCCATGGCCTGGATGTCACAAGCGGAACCAAACTGTCTTCAGAGTGGTGTTTCCAGTTTCCACTCACTACGACGGCCCTGGAAGTTCCTAGCTCCCCGGCTCCAGCAGCGCTTGGTATTGCCGGACTTGGGTCTTCAGTCTCGCTCATGATTTGGCACCCACTTTTCTTCTTATTCGTAAGTTTGAACATCCTTTGTATATGAGCTGGATGTTTGGGTTATTTCTCCAAAGGCTGTCCATGCTCTCATTCAGTTTCTAACAGTGGCACTTGCCTGCTCCTTATTGATTCTCGGCAGCTCCTTATGCACTCTTCACTGAATTGTTTTTTATGACCAGGATTGGAGCCAGGTCCTCACACGCCCTTGGCGAGCGCCCTCCTACTGATCAGTACTCAGGCACTCTGTCTGCAAATATCCTCCCAGCTGGTGGCTCGTTATTTTCACTTTTTTTTTTTAACTGGTATCCTTTGATGATGAAAAGCTTTATGTTTTAATTAGGTAAATTTATCTGTCCTTTATATGATGATTGTACCTTTAAAGATGAATTTAAGAAATATCCGTCGGGGCTGGAAGGATGGCTCAACAGTTAAGAGTGCACACCACTCTTGCAGAGGGCCTGGGTTTGGTTCCCAGCTCCCTTTCTGGTGGCTCACAACTGCTTGTGACTCCAGCTCCCGGAGATCCAGCACCGCCTTCTACAGTCTGAGCGCAACAACACTCGTGTACATAGACTTACACACTTGTGCACACTTATACACGGTTAACATTGGTTTAAAATCTTAAATATTTGCCTACCAGAAATTGCAAAAATAGTCCTCTGATTTTTCTTTTGAAGTCATTTTGCTTTCATAACTCAGTCTCTAACCTGGCTTCCTGTTAACATGCATTATAACCCGAACAGGAGATGGGAGGCAGAACTGTCCTGAATTCAACCTGGAACAATTTCGTTCATGTTTTGGGAACTCTTGCTCAACAGGAGCTGGGGGGAGGGGAGGCAGACAGTGTTTCAATGAAGTAGCGAGAGTGAACATCGTTTACCATGGACTTCTAACTCCAAAGAGAAGCAACTGCGAAGATGGGGTTTGAGGGCGATTGTCTTACACCCAGCTGGTAAGTGTCAAATCTGTCTTCATTCAGTCACACCATGAAGTCTGTGGGGTGAAGACTCAACTCATGCTGGATGGCTTTTGAAGGAATTTTATGTAAACACCAACCATCTCCAAACAAAGCAGATCTTTCTGCTTATCAAATGAATGCTATCCCATATTAGCAGGAAGTCCCTGCATCTTTTGTAAGCTAGTGAGATCATTTGGTCTTAAGTCAGCATTTCTCAACTTTAGCTTTCATAATGCTGACCGACCACGCTTTACCAGGAAGGGCATTGACACAGCAACAAGAGAAATGCACTCACTAGTTCAGAGGACATGGTTCTGATCTTTCTCTGGATTCTTGGGGAAATGGAGGCAGAATGGCCTTGGAAGAGTCAACTTGAGATTTATATTTTAAAAGTATGAAAATGTTAACGAGCCCTGGGAGAGAAACCTCTACCGATTTAATGAAATTGAGCACGAGTGTCCATTTTCTGAAGAATGTACCTAGTAATGTGACTGAGTAGATCTTATTTTGTCATTGCAGAGCGTATGTATGTGCATTAATACACACTCTTATATGGCCAGGGATCCACCTTAAAAGTGAATATAGTGCCGGGTGGTGGTGGCGCACGCCTTTAATCCCAGCACTCTGGAGGCAGAGGCAGGCGGATCTCTGGGAGTTCGAGGCCAGCCTGGTCTACAAGAGCTAGTTCCGGGACAGGCACCAAAGCTACAGAGAAACCTTGTCTCACCTTTTTGATGCTGTTGTTTGGTTTTCTTTTTCAAGACAATGTTTCTCTGTGTAGTCCTGGCTGTCCTGGAACTTATTGTGTAGACCAGGCTGGCCCCCAACTCAGAGATCTGCCTGCCTCTGCCTCCTGAGTGCTGGGACTAAAGGTGTGCGCCACCACTGTCCAGATCCCACCTTTCATTTATTTATTTTTTTAAGACAGAGTCTCTCACTGAACCTGAAGCTCATAGACATGTTTGAACTCGCTGGCCAGTCTGCCTCAGGGATCTGCCAGTCTCGATCCCCAACAACAGGGCTTACAGGCCCATGACACCAACCCAGCTTTTTTTCATAGGTGCTTGGGATCTGAACTCAGGTCCTCACTCTTTGTCACACATTCCCATCTAGCCACCTCCCCAGTTGCAACACAGCTTTATTTCTTCATGGGTCAGGGAGCAGGAAACACTTGAAGCCCCATCACTGTGTCGCTGTTGGTTATTCTTTCCATTGCTGTGCTCAAACACCAACCAGGAAGCAACTCAAGGCTGGGCACATTGTTTTGGCTCATAGATTGAGGGCACATAGCCCATCATGGTGGGGAAGGCATGGGAGCAGGAACATGAGGTGAATATGTGTTTAAAAACGATAGGGGACATTTCACATTCAGGACAACTCATTTTACCAAGCCCTAATCTCCTCCCTTCTGTCTTTTCCTCCCTCATTCCCTCCCTCAGTCCCTCTTTCCCTTCCTCCTTTCTGCCCTGCCTTTGATGCTGACTGCATATTTGTTCCCCTTCAATAATATACCCAGCCTGGTTTCCGACAGCAGCACCATCTTGGCTGCAGCCATGACACCAGCTCTAAGAGGCTCTGAAGCTGAGTTTTCCTTTTTCATAGTTCTGGCGTCATGGGCACCATCATTTCCTCTGACGAAGGTGAGCACGCACACCACTACAAAAATGTGTCAAGTCAGGTCACAGTGCAGCGTAACAGCAACAAAGGTGATTAATAGTTTGTTTTAATGATGCAACTGGCATTTAATAAGTCATTGATTTTTTTCTTTAGCATCTTACTAAAATGCTTTGGAATGGGGAAAAAAGTCTCCTGCTCGTACAAGGCAGTATTGATTAGGAATTCATACACTGGATTCTGGGTGCTTTATTATCTTCGTGCGAGCACGTATTTCTTGATGAATATTGATTGAGCTGTGACCATTGGTGAAACATTTATGGTCGAGGAAAAAAAAATGAACTGTTTACCTTGACCCTGAAGTCACTTTGTTCCAAATCAGGAGCAAATAGAGTGACCTGTGAATTAGCGCTTACGTCAGCTGGGGACAGGAGACCTCTGGCCTCCGACCTGGTGCACTGCCTGCGGATGTGCAGAGAGTTCCAGCGCTTTGAGCCGCCGTCCATGCAGGACTGGGCTCGGATGGTGACACGGCTGTCTGAGTCATCCGTGTTTCTGTCACTAACCCCATCCGTTCACCAAGGTGGACTCTTCGGGGCACTGTTGGTCTGGTCTGCTGTCCGTTTCCCATCTGGAGGCGTAGACGTGTCTTCGCGTCTCCCTGGAGAAGAGCCAGCGACGCAGGGCTGTCTATTGTCTCTTACGCTTGCCTCTCTGCCTTGCTCCAGTGCCCACTATCAAGGAAAAGGGTACACAGGTGGTGCTGTGTAATTGCTTGCGCGTGTTCCATATTGAGTGGGGATCTCGCCATAAGCACTTAGCATCTGGAATCTCTGGTTTCACAGTAGGTTTATTGTGCCTTGGAATTATGATTGCTCCTGCCTCTAGCCTTTCCCCAGCCCATGTTTTATTAGGGGTGCTTTTCAGGGGCATGTTGTGCAAAAACACTTTAAGTACAAAACCCCATTAGTTTCTCACCTGGAGAAAGGTTCATCGTGTTCTCTTTTACGTATAAAGTCAGGTTTAATAAATAGCTTTCTCAAAGGATATCATGAGTACATGGTGAGATTCAAATCAATGTCTTTACTGACTCCAAAGTCCGTGTCAGTACAAAGAGGCTTGCGGCACTCTGGAAAGGCCCAGCCCGGGCAGAGCCCTCCAGTTTCACCTGTAAGGATGGACTTATTAGATGCTTAATGGGGATGGTGGCAAGACAGAGGCAGTTAGTAGGTTAGCACGGCAGAACCCAGCGCGGGAGTACAGTGTTCTTATGCAGTAGAAGTAGTTGGTATACCATAATACTTCAGGCTCTTACCAACTGATGTCTTAACAGGGAACAGCTGAGCTTTTCTTGGGGGAGCAGCTCACATGGAAGCCCGGAAGGGAGTCAGGGAGGAGTCACGCGGGGAAGAAAGGCCTTGACGGAGACAGAATAGACAGAGTGCCGCCATGAAGGGTGACCTCAGGCAAGCTTCTCTGGAGGAACAGAACCGATGGAGTGCTGTGTGTTATCAAAGTCGGTTATATACCATATGGGCCAGGTACTACAGAGTGTTTAAAAACATATCGCCGCAGGCCAGCGAGATGGCTTCACCTTGACGCACAGTGTCAGTACTGGAGTTTGAATCCCCAGAAACCCATATAAATGCCAAGTGAGTGTAGTGGCCTGCCTGATATTCTAGCCTCAGAAGGTAGACACAGGGAGCCCCAGGGGAAGCTGGCTAGCAAGACTAGTTCTATCGGCAAGCTCTGGGTTTGATTGAGAGGCCTTGCCTCAGGGAATAAGGCAGAAGAGTGTCAGAGGCTGACTTCTGACACCAACCTCAGGCTTCCGCTCTCACAGGCATGTGTGCACGCACACACACACACACACACACACACACACACACACACGTATGTACACATGCATACCACATGTACATGAAAAAGGAAAAAGAGAAAACCAGAGCCAAGCAAAAACTTGCCATTGTGATTCTTAATGATGTCGGGGTAAACGCTCCTTCCCAGAGAGGCAGACTTCTCTGCACTGCAGCCCTGGGCCGACCTCAGGATGAGGGTTCGGGGGCATTCATTCATTCTAGACAGGCTGCATTGCTGTCTAGAGCAGAAACATCCAGAGTCCAGTCTTGCCTGCTGTTACTGAGGCCAGCCCCGAGGCCAGCCCTGGAAAGCAATGCTGCTCTGAGCGGGGAGTGGGACCCCAGCTAGAATACGGCATTTGTTTTTCTTATTACTTCTGTAATCAATCACCCCGGCCCTGGTGGCTTAAGACAACACGAACGTACACCCTTAGAGCCATCAGAAGTCTGAAAGGGTCTCACTGGGATGAAGCCAGGAAGGTGTCAGCAAGATTTCCTTCTTCTAGGAGCCTCTAGGGAGGAACATCTTTCCTGCTTTGGGAGGCCACCTGCATTTCTTGGCTCACGATGCCTTCTTCCCCCTTCAAAGCTTGCAGCGTAGCGTCTTCCTGTAGTACGCCCATTTGGATCCTCGCTGTCCTATTCCCAGGGACCCTGGTGACTACACTGGGCCACCTGGATAATCCAAAATGATCTCCCATCTCAAACGCCCTGACGCGGTCCAATCTGTGACGTCTCCTTTGCCAGAGAAGTCATCACGTTGATGGGATCTTAGGATCAGGATGCAGGACTCTTTGGGGTGCTTTGTCCTCAGCAGGAGGAGTTACAAGGATAGAGATGAGATCAGAAAGACAGTCCCATCCTGGGGTAGCTGGGTGGGAGGGGAATGCATCTCTCTCTAGGCCAGCATAACCCAGCTCGGATTAGAGAACCAACACGCTTACCCTCAACACAGGGTGACGTGGCTTCTGCTAACTAAAACCCAGGCCTAATTTACATGCTGCAAACAATACATAGCATTTACTTAAGGCTGCTTCGGAGCATGCTGTTATTGCTTCTAATACAATTCCGTGGGTTCTCAGCTGACTCCTGTGCACCCTTCTTCGCGGTCAACATTCTCTTGCATCTTGCCAAGAGTGTGGGAGCATTTCCTCTCTCATTTAAACAGGGGGCTCCCATTCTGCCGTGTGGAGCCAGCATATTAAACATCCACAACCAAATTGCTTAATGCCCAGGTTTTTGAAAAAACATTTCCTCTAAATGAAAGATTTTTAAATACCCAGACCTCATGTTGGTCGAATGGGACAACCAGACCTTTTTTTCTACCTATTTGGTTAGTTGGTTTCTACCTATTTGGTTAGTTGGTGGCGGGGAGGGGATGACACAGGCAATTCTGATCCCTGTCAAATTCTAAAGCTGGCTGCTTTTTTCAGGTGGAACCATACAAGGTGACTGCTGTGTTGTATGAGTACGACCTCTTATAGATTGGTCTGCTTTACAGCAGGACACACGCACACACACACACACACACACACACACACACAGAGAGAGAGAGAGAGAGAGAGAGAGAGAGAGAGAGAGAGAGAGAGAGTGCTGTGGGAAGGACGAGAACCAATCTGAGAGCCAGAGCCTCCTAATTGCCTTCTCCACTACAGCGACAGCGTCCTAAGTGTCTTTATGGTGGCTTCATTTCACAGTGACCTGCAACACTGCTGTAATTCTCCCGGTGTCAGTCACGCACGTTTTAAAAGATGGTTGGTTTTATGGCTTTTATTTGGGAATTTGTCAAGGTTTCACGTTACGGAAGCCTTGAAGCAGCAGCCTAATAGTCCATAATTTCGTGTTTAAAGGGATATTGCCGCGCAACCTGCCTGGGCCTGCAGGTGCCTCTAGCAACTGAGTCCTTATGTCCATAACTTCCTTTACACTGTAGTAAACCTTTACTGTCAGAAGCTTCCATTTGGAATTCCAGAGGGAGATGGGGGAGCGTGTTTCAAGCTTCAGAAGCAGCTTGCCATTTAAAGCTAATTCCCATGAAATGGACTTCAGGTGTTAGTAAAGCCACGCTCAGGTTAGTGGATTCTGGCAATTGGGGCTGACGTACCTGCTTTATGACGCATTGTCTGGCAATGAGAGTACTAGGCCTGAGTCATATCCTTCCTCTTTGTCCTCCTCCTTCCTCCCTCCCTCTCTCTCTCTCTCTCTCTCTCTCTCTCTCTCTCTCTCTCTCCCTCTCTCTCTCACTCACTCTCTGTCTTTTCCTCCCCTTAAGATCTCAATGCCCTTAACAGATGTCTATAAATGCCATGTTTCTGCGGACTGTTTTGGCCTTCCGCCACTGTGTGTATTTACAGGTTTACTGAGAAAATTGGTAGCCCCCAAACACTTTTACCAAGGGAGAGCAACTGGTCTCCTGGTATCGCTGGTACACTCTAGGCTAGCATGCTGTGTGTAAGAAAGCGCGCACACACACACACGCACACACACACACGCACTCACGCACGCACACACACGCACACGCACGCACACACACACGTGGCGCGCGCACACACACACACGCACACGCACGCACGCACGCACACCTGCATCACCCCAGCTCCTTTCTCTCCCCGTGGCCTCAGCTGGGTGCATACATATTGGTGTTTATCACAGCCGGCTGCCGCTGCGTCGCTATGTCTCAGCATAGCTGATGCTTATTTGAGCAGAGGGCCATCTTTCTGGAGTGACCTCTGCCAGACAGGAGACCGATGTGCCCTCGCTTTGCGGTGAGGCTCCTCATGAGTTCACTGTAGCTGCGGTGGGGGAGAGGGGGGCTCCTCCAGGAAGAAGCCTGGGGTACTGTCTTTGAACATGTGCTCTTGATTAAACGAGAAGAGAAAGGGCCCTTCGGTTTTCCCATTTGGAGGTTAAAGTGGAGGGTTTGTCTAAAAGGAGATGGTGCTAAATTGTGAGTTTATTTGAACAGTATGTCAACATTATTTACTCACGGGGGGGGATCGCAAATTGATAGGTTTCTTCTAATTACCTCATCCTGGAGGTTGCTCTCCATAAACAGAATATATTTCAGAAGCCATTTGGGTAAGTCTGGAAGGGCAAACTGATAGGAAACATGGTGAGAATGCCTTTGAAAACCTTCCCATAGTTCTAAGACTAAGGAAGCTTGATTAGAAGACAGACTGGATGCTGCCTCAGGTGATCTCGCTGGCCTCCGGTAAAAGGCGGCCTTCAGGAGTCTTGCGTAATACAGGTCACACCACACAGACAATCCCTTTCTAAGGTAGGTATTACTGTCTGGGACTCAGACTAGGGCAGCCTTGTTTACCCCACAGCACCTTCCTCTTGGGTTCTGTCCATGAAGCACAGAGATGAATGAAAGAGTCAGTCATTCAACGAGTCCCAGACGCATCCAAAAATCCAAAGAGTTCTGACAAACCCAGCCTATGGTGGTTTGACTAGATATGGCCCTCACAGATTCATGGGTTTGAATGTTTGATCTGTAGATGGCAGCAGTATCAGGAGGTGCGGCCTTGTTAGAGGAAATGTTTCACGGTGCAGGAGGGCTTTGAGGTCTCATGTGTTTAAGTGACACCCAAGTGTGGGATACAGTCGCTTCTGGTGCTGGTAGAACAAGATGTAGAACTCTCAGTTTCTTCTCCAGTGCCATGTCTTCCTGCGTGCTGCCGACGATAGTTGACTAAACCTCTGAAGCTGTAAGGCAGTCCCAATTAAACGTTTGCCTTTATAAGAATTGCTGACATCATGGTGTCTCTGCACAGCGATAGACTTCCTAACTAAAACACAGGCCAAAGCATATTTTTCTAAATAATTTCTTACTTGATTGGCTGGCTCTATCTAATCTCTCTCTCTCTCATCTATCTATCTATCTATCATCTATCTATCATCTATCATCTATCTATCAATCTCTCTATCATCTCTCTATCTCTCTATCATCTCTCTATCATCTATCTATCTATCTATCTATCTATCATCTATCTATCTATCTATCTATCATCTATCTATCATCTATCATCTCTCTATCAATCTCTCTATCATCTCTATCTATCTATCTATCTATCTATCTCTCTATCATCTATCTATCTCTCTATCATCTATCTATCTATCTATCTCTCTATCATCTATCATCTCTCTATCAATCTCTCTATCATCTCTATCTATCTATCTATCTATCTATCTATCTATCTATCTATCTATCT